CTCCATCGGCTTGCATCTCTCGCACCTCGGCCTCGGTCTCCCGGAAAGGGGCGTCCGTGGTCCAGGTACTGCCGATGGTGGCATCGATTTCAGCGGCCGCCAGCGCTCGTTGGCAGGAATCCAGCAACGTGGGGTCGGCCCGCGCTTCCGCTTCCGCCGGCGCGCCGACTCCGAATCCACCGGCAACGGCCACCGGTGCTTGGCCGCGGTCCAACACCACGAACGGCGCGCGGTCACCCGCTGCCTTTTCCACCGCGGAGGCGCTCACCTCACGCCACAGTCTCTTCTGAAAGAGCAGGATCAGGTCGGGCGGACACTCCGGCAGGGGGCGCGACGGGTGACCATGCTCGATCGATTGGCGGGCGGTGATGATCGCCGGGCTGCCGTACTTGGTGGGAAAGTGCGGTAGTGCCATGGCCGATCCTATCGGACATGTGATCGCAGTAACAGCCGGGAGTTGCGACATCGCCGTTGCGCCGGATTCACCGAGTTCGGCCGTCACCGGCGCTTGTCTCCCAGACTGACCTCAGAATCGCCTGTGCAGTCCCCAGGTTCGCGAAGAGCGTCTGAGCCGCATGGGCGCGTTCCAAAAGCGATCCTTCCGACCTCGTACGCAATCAGGAACGGTCTCGGCGGTTGGAAATCGACAACGGCAGACACCCTGTCGTCTCTGAACATCACGTTCGGGAGGCCATAGTCGTTGTGTATCACCTGAGTTGTGAGGGTGGGGAGGGCTTGCAGGATCTTGGGAACTTCCCGAACGAGCTGTTTGCGTTCGATCAGCAAGGGAAGTGTCTCTCTGTCGAAGCTGTCCGGCTCGGATTTTCGTCGGATGATCTGTATGTAGTGATCGATTTCGCTCAGCTTGTCGGCCGCGTCGAATCTGAGCCAACGCGACGTGTCCGAGGGGAGCCTTGACTCGAGCGTGCTGAAGTGACGATGCAGATCCCCAAGGACTCGACCTGCTTGTGCCATCTGTTCCAGTGACAGGGACCGCTTCGCGGTGACATCCATCCGCCCATTCGAACAGGACGAACGTCGTGTCGCCGCTCCTGCAGATCAGGTCTTCGGAGCAAGTTGCGATGACCCTCGGAGTCGGTATGCCGCAGTCGCGCGCGTACATGGCGAGATCGAGCGCCTGTCGTTCTTCGTCTACGTTTGTCTGCCCGGGATACTCCTTGACGAAGAACCGGCCCTCCACCCAGCGTGCAGAGACCAGTTCCGGGTCCCACACCCCCTCGTATATGCGGCTCATGGACAACGGTCGCGGGGGTAATGACGGGCTATGCAGGCAAGAATCTCATCCCGCTTGTCAGCCATCACGCGCCAAGTGGTCGATCCGGGGTTCATTCCACTCGATGCCGAGGCCGGGCCGGTCGGACATCACGATCCTGCCGTCGCGGAACTCCGGCGGCGCGATCAGCTCGTCGATAGCAGCGCCGGACCCATCTCGACGATCAGCCCGTTGGTGACCGCGGCGACCGCGACCGCGCCCAGATGGCCGTCACCGTGCGGGGCCATCGGCAGGTGGTGCGCGCCGGCGTAGGCGGCGATCTTCACCCACTCGGTGAGCCCGCCGCAGACGTTCGGATCGGCCTGGATGAAGTGCGCGGCGCGCGCGTCGATCAGGTCGCGGAAGCCCCAGCGGGTGAACTCGTTCTCACCGCTGGCGATGGGGATCGGCTGTGCGCGGGCCAGCGCGCCGCGCTGCCCTGCATGTCGTCGGCATGCACCGGCTCCTCGAACCAATAGGGGTCGTAACGTTCGACCAGGCGCGCGAAGCGCAGCGCGGTGGCGAAGTCCCAGGCGTTGTTCGCGTCGATCATGAGATCGACGTTCGCGCCGATCGCGTCGCGCACGGCGCGCACCCGGTCCGCGTCCTCGCGCAGCGTCACCCCCGACCAGCCGATCTTCATCTTCACCGCCCGGAAGCCCAGCTCCACCGCGTGCGCCGCCTCGGCCGCCAGCTCGGCCAGCCCCTTGCCTTCCTGGTAGTAGCCTCCGGCCGCGTACACGGGAAGCTCGCGCTGCGCGCCGCCGAGCAGCTTCCACGCGGGCTGGCCGGTCACCTTGCCGCGCAGGTCCCAGAGGGCGTTGTCGATCGCCCCCATCGCGCGGATGTGCTCGCCCTTGGCGACCGGCTTGCGCCAGTTCCCCTGGTACATGCGCTGCCAGAGCGCGTCGGCCGCCAACGGATCCTGCCCCATCACGACCGTGGACAACTGCTCGATGAGCGCCTGGTTCGGCCCCGGACCCGGCGCCATGCCCACCGCCCCGTCGTCGGTGGTGACGGTGAGCCGCGAGAACCCCTTGCGCCGCGGGCGCGGCGGATAGCCGATGATCCCGTTCCAGAGGCCGGGCTCGGTGTCGCCGTACGAGAACGCGGTCAGCGTGATGCCGGTGATGCGCATGACGCTGGCAGCCTACGATGGAGCAGGGCAATCGGGTAGCTGATCGGTTTCCACCCTCAGATCCCCATCGTCCCTGGCCTGCGCCAGTGCATGCGGCAGGCATCCGGTCAAGCGGTTGTCGTAGAGGAATAGCTTCTTGAGGCTCTCCAGCTCGCCTAGGTTTGGAGGGGATGTCCCCGGTCAGCCGGTTGATGCTGAGATCCAGAGTCTTGAGAGCGCGGAGCGACGCCAACTCCGGTGGTATGGATCCCGTCAGGCGGTTGAAGCTGAGGTCCATCTCGACGAGGTGGGTGAGATCGCCCAGTTCCGCTGGTATGGGGCCGGTGAGCTCGTTGTCATCGAGCCGGACGCTCTCGAGATATCGGAGTGAGCCGAGCCAGGGTGGGACGGTTCCAGACAGCCGGTTGTCATCGAGACACAGGTCCTCGAGGTTGCGGAGGTTGGAGAGCTCACCGGGGATGAATCCTGTCAAACGGTTGCCGTACAGGGAAAGCTCCTCCAGATTGGTGAGGTCACCCAATTCTGGCGGGATGCTGCCGGTCAACTGATTGTCGTGAAGCCACAGGCTGTCCAGACGGTGCAACGTGCCAACTGATGGGGGGATGTCGCCGGTCAGGCGATTGTCGCTCAGCCACAGGCTGGTGAGATCGGTAAGGTTGGCGAGGGTCGATGGTATCGATCCGGTGAGCCGATTGTGGTGCAGATACAGGCCCCGCAAACTGCTGAGGTTACCCAGCTCCGTCGGGATCGGGCCGGTCAGCTCGTTGTCGTCCAGCCAAAGGCTGCGAAGTTCGTCGAGATTCCCGATCTCCGGGGGGATATGACCGCTCAGCAGGTTGTCGCTGAGCCACAGTCTGACAAGCGTGCCAATCTGACCAAACGCGGCGGGGATGCTGCCGGAGAGCTGGTTCTCGTCGAGAAACAATCCCCACAAATTGGCGAGGTCACTCAGTTCCGGCGGTATGTCGCCGGTCAACTCGTTGTCGCCGAGGTCCAGATCCTCCAGTTCGGTGAGCGCACCCAGCACCTGTGGGATCCGTCCTTGCAGCCCCGCTTCCCGAAGATCCAGTCCGATCACGCGGTCAGCCCTGAGCGATACGCCCATCCAGTCACCGATCCGCCTATCGAGATCCCAATTCAGCACCCCGGCACCGCCATCGAGCGCATCGCTGGCCCTCAGCAGAGCCTCACAGTCGGAGATGAGTTCAGCGCTGTTCGGCGCCTCGCCGACGGCGACGCTGCCGGCGCAAGTCATCGCCGGTGTCGCCGCCGTTTCGACCGGCGCCGCGCCCGGCTCCAGGCGCGCGCCGGCATCGAGCAGGGTCTGCGTCACGAGGGAATTCGGGTTGAATCGGTCTGCGTACCTGACGGGCGGTCCAGCCCTGCCGCGTACGCGCGTGAATGTCGACCCCGGCATCGATGAGGAACTGCATCACGTCCGGGTTGGGATTGAAGGCTGCCGCCATCGCGGCCGTCCATCCGTCCGTCGTATGCGCGCCGAGGATGTCAGCACCGACGTCGATCAGCGCCTGCAGCACGTCGAGGTTCTGTCCGTAGAGCGCCGCAACCAACACGGCCGGCTCACCGCCCGGGGTGAGCTCGAACGCGGCGATGCCGGCCTCGCCGATCGCCTCTCCGGCCGCGGTGATCTCCTCGGGCCAGCCGGGCATTATCAAAGCCCTGGATCCTACCGAGCCGCCGGGCTTCGTTTCGGCGCCGGCAGCCAGCAAGAGACGCCCGACCTGGGGGTCTTGATTGAAGGCAGCCGCGGCCATGAGGGCGCTCCACCCCTCTCTATCGCGCGCGTCGATCTCGATGCCGTGATCGAGCAGGAGCTGCAGCACGTCCCGATCGTTGTGCGACGCCGCGATCATGAGCGCCGTCTCGCCGGCCTCCGCCCTGGCGTGAGGGTCGGCGCCGGCGTCGATCAATGCCTGCAGCGCCTCCGGGTTTCGGTTCGAAAGCGCGGCCGACATCAAGATCGTCCAGCCGGTATCGTCAGCAGCGTTTGCGTCTGCTCCTGCGACGAGCAGCACGCGGGCAACCTCCAGATTCGCATTGTAGGCGGCGGCTGCCATCAGAGCGGTCTCTCCCTCCTCGGCGCGGGCCATCACCTCGGCCACTCCGGCGGCGAGCAGCGTACGTATGACCTCGGGATTGGAATTGAAGGCGGCCGCAGCCATCAGCGTGGCGTCGCCGCCAGGCAGGGGGCTCTCCACGTCACCGTAGTCGATCATATCGGAAATGACGTCCAGTACGGGGCTATGGCCGGCCACAGAGCGAGCGGGAAGCACCTCGTAATCGCCGCTTGCGGCAGTCTCAGCCCCGGCAGCGAGCAGCGTCCGAACGACCGCGGGGTTGGTGTTGAAGGCAGCAGCGAAGTTGAGGGCCGTCCAACCGTGCCGGTCGCGCACCGCCACATCGGCGCCGGCAGCGAGCAGCGCACGCATCACGTCAGGGTCCGGGTTGTAGCCCGCGACGTACATCAACGACGTCGTGTCGCGTTCGCCGTCCGACTGGAGCGGCGCGCCGGCGGAGATGGCGGCGCGCACGTCGGCGACCGTCAGATCCGCCGCCGTTTCCGGCTCTGCGCCGACGACCGCGAAGAACGCGTCTACCGAGTCGCCCTGCGGCGCGGCGTAAGCGGTGACGGGAATCATCAACGTCAGCGCGACGAGCGCATGAGACAGGAACGGGAGGCGCGCCGTTGGTTGCGGCACAGAATCTGGCGCCACCAGCCGACGCAACACCGTACCGTGTGCGTTGCGACTCGGGTGCTTGGCAAGCGCACAAAGGGCTCCGCCGAGCCCCTTTATTGAAAACCCTGATGTGGACGACGTTCAATAAAGCACAAAACCCTATTATAGAATGACTATTATAGAATGAATTGAGGCGATGGCCCGAGGCGATTTCTTTTCTATGGCAAGGTTCTGATGCGTCATCCAATTTATGAAGGTCCTTTCCCGCATGCCGGTCCGCGGGCCACCCACGCGGGCCGCGAGCGGGTTCCCTGGTTCACGACTTTCCCAGACATACGCAAGTACTGCAAGAGATTACTGATCTTCGCCCGTTTCTGTTCGTCCGTTAGCCGATCGGGAAGCTTCGTCTTCAGGGCTTGATCGATATTTCTGCGGTCGACCGGACCATGCTCACGCACTAGCGTGAAGATCATGTCCAGGTAGTACTGATTGTCGAACCCGCGTTCCCGGATGTGTCGGCCAGCGCTGCCAGTCGCTCTGGCCACGGACCCGGCGACCGTCAGGTCGGTAGCGGCGATCGGTCCTCGACCAAGCCGGATTTCTGTCTTCACACGGTCGGTGCCGCTTCCCGGTTTTTTCGATGCGCAAACCTTTCTGCACCCGGTCGAGGAGCATCACCAGATCGAGGTCCAGATCGAGGCCCTCCATCAGGAGCCGGGTGTAGTGCTCGTCGAGGATGCGTCCGTGGTTGGTTACGGCCACGCGACTCGTGTCGGTCAGATCGTAATCCGGGAGCGGGAACGAACGCCTCCTCTGCGTTTCGAACATGCGCTTGATACCGCCCCCCTGAGTGTCGATCAGTCCGCTCGACCACTTGCGTCGCGTTCAGGAACGGTGCTTGGCTGGTAGATGGCCTGGGGGGCGTCCTGCCGAGGACCGTCTCGACGTCACAGGCAGGAAGTCGCCGACGTTGGTCGTCAGGACGCGGTCGGGGAACTCGACGACGAGGATCCGCCCGCGCAGCGCATAGTCTTGGTGCGCTATGCAATTGTGCACAGCCTCGCGGATCACCAATCGGTCGTACTGCGTGATCTCCTGCGGGAACAGGGTCCCATTCGGAAGAGCGCGCACGGTGAGGTTGCGTCCGTACGTCGCTCCAGCAGGCAGGTCCCCGGCATGAGGACGCGCGCGGTCGATGTGCTCGTAGTCGAGCTCACGATTGTGGTCGTCCTTGAGCACCCAGGAGATCCTGGCGACCGTCGGCGCGAGCAGAACCGACGATTCCGGCCGCCCCAGCAACAGCAGCGCGGTGTTCGTCACCGCGCCCTGTCGCAGCACCGTGCAGTATAGAGGAACGCTCGAGCCCAGCCTCGAGGCGTCACGAAGAGAGTGTGCTGATGGCGAAATTTGCGAGTCGGCGCCTAGGGCAGTGAGACACGGAGATCGAGAGAACGTACAGGGACGCAACGTCAGAGAGACCTCGCGTGAGCAGAGACGAACGGAGACAACGCGCAGAACAAGTCGCTCTTTGACGGCAAGCGCGTCCAGATCGAGCGCGTTCTTCCCTCTCCGGATGCTGCTGAGTGTCGGTCTTGCTGGCGCCGACGCGAACATAGGCCTTTCGGTGGAAGCTGACCGTTGATCCTGGCAGAGAGGCCGCCACGACAGAAAGAGACGACGACACAGAAAGAGGCCGTCCGAAGGGATGGGAGGTGAGGTGGCACGACGAACACCGGTGCGGCTGCAGGCCCGCGCCAAGCCACGGCAGCAGGTCCTGATTGCCTTTTGCCTTGGTCGTGTACGGATCGAAGTCGGTCCCTATGACCTCGTGTGACTCGTCGTTGATACCGAACACCAGATAGCCACCCGACTGGCTACTGAGGCAGGCGGAATTCGCAAGCGCCGACAGATACTGCCCGAGCTGTTCCGGTTCATGGAAGCTGCGTTTGAACTCCAGCCACTCCGTCTCCGCCGGCAGACCGCGCAGATGGTCGATGAGCGCTACGTACTTGCTGTCATTCACATCGGTGTTGAGCAGCCTCCGTCCGCGAGCCTCAGCGGACCAGGCGCCTGAAGCCCTCCACGGGCAGCGGGCCGCGCAGCCGGTCGGCGATGTCTCCCTTTCGGATCGCGTCGCTGAGCTCGGCCATGACCGGCACCATCGCCGCTTCGTACTTGTCGAGCACCTCCTCCGTGTGCGCCACCGAGCAGTAGATGACCGGCGGAGCCAGGAAGCCGCGCTCCAGCATCAGGTGCGTGTACAGCGTGCTGAGCTCCTTCGCCTGCTCGTGGTCGAACGCAGCGTGCGCGATGCACGGATAGGCGTCGTCGACCACCAGCGGCACACCGGCGGCCGCCGCCTGGCGCTGCCATGCCTCCTTGACGCGGCGGCCGACCGCGCCACAACGCCGGCACGTCGAGCTGCTGCGTCATCTTCGTGACCGCGGCCACCGCCGCCGCCGGGCCCACGCCCTCGGTCCAGTAGCTGGAGGAGATGAACGAGTGCTCGGCGCCCTCCATGGCGGCCGCGGTGCCGATCACCGCGCCGATGGCGTGGCCGTTGCCCAGGCTCTTGCCGAACGCGGCCAGGTCGGGATCGACCCCGAAGCGGGCGTGCGCCCCGGCGCGCTCACAGGCGAAAGCCGATGGAGGTCTCGTCGAAGATCAGCAGCGCGCCCACCCGGTGCGCCTCGGCTCGGATGTGCTCCAGGTACCCCGGATCGGGATCCTGACCACGGCACGGTTCCATGACCACGGCCGCCAGCCGGTCGCCGTGCTCGGCGATGATGCGGTCGAACCGCTCCATGTCGCCCCACTCGAATACCTGCGCCGTGCCGCGCAACTCGCGCGGCACGCCGAGCGGCTCCAGCCCCGGCATCAGGTGGCCGCGCAACGCGTCGCTCTCTCCCAGATTGGCCGCCAGGTACCAGTCGTGCCAGCCGTGGTATCCGCTGATCGCCACCACCGAGCGGTCGGTAGTGGCGCGGGCGATGCGCACCGCCACGGTCATCGTCTCGCCGCCCGTGCGCGCCAAGCGCACCCGTTCCGCCCAGGGATGCAGGCCGCACAACAGGTCGGCAAGCTCCAGCTCCTCGCGCGGATTGAGGGTCGAGCAGCTCCCCAGGCTGACTCGCCGAATCACCGCGCGGGTGACGTCCGGGTCGCGGAACCCCAGGATGGTCGCGCCGATCCCGTGCGAGGAGCAGTCGAAAAAGTGGCGTCCCGCCTCGTCCCACACCTCGCAGCCGCGCGCCTCACGAAAATAGGGCGGCCACTGGCCGGGCGCCATGCGGTCCGGGTTCTTGCTGAGCAGGTGGTTGCCGCGCGGGATGATGGTGAGCGCCCGCTCGTAGCTCTTCTGGCCCAGATCGGGGTCGACCGCTCGCAGCCCCAGCAGCCGCTCCGCGTTGTCGCAGAACACGTCCTGCAGGTCGGCTTCGTTCAGCCCGAACCGGTCGGCCGCGTGGAAGATGGCGCGCACCTCCTCAAGGCCGACCTGGATCGGTTGCCCGAAGAAGGCGCGGTCGTTCCACTCGAGCTGGTCGGTGGCGACCCAGGCGAACCCGGTGCCGAGCGTGATCGAGCGCCCGCGCTGGTGCGAGACCGGAAAATCGGAGCCGTACACCAGTCGGCGCGGCCCGAACTCGTCCATGATCGCGATCATGGGCTCCGCCTCGCAGATCGCGGAGGTGTCGAACCAGACGTTCTGCAGCCCGCGCAGGGAGGCGATCCCCCTGGTGGTGTTGGGGCCGTGGAAGCCGCGCGCCGCGTGCGCGAGGATGAGCTGCGTGTTCGGGAAGCGCTCGCACTTCTCGCGGATCTGGCGCTGGTTCTCCGGATCGTCCAGTGCCGGATCGCGCACGATGTGCAGCATGATGAACCAGCCGCGCTCATCGGCGACCTGCCACGTCCAGTCGGGCAGGAACTCGTCGATGTACGATTGCTGCGTGTCCTCGCGGGCGCTGTAGCAGTGGTAGCACTTGAAGCCGCCGATCCCCTCACCGTCGAGGTCCGCTTCCACCTCGGCCAGCGTCGTGTCCGCAGCGACCAAGTAGGCACGGATCGCCGTCGGGTGGCCGGCGGTCTGCGCCGCGACGTAATCGTTCTTCGGGCCGATCGGCAGGTCCGCGGCCGGAAACGGCAGGACCAGGGCGCCTGTCATCCGCTCGGGGCCGCCGAGCTGCGCGCCGACCAGCTCCCGCCATTCGGCAAGGCCGACCCGCTCCGGTCCCCACTCGAGCATCGGGCTCAGACGCGGAAAGTGTTGGATGTCATAGAGATGCATGTGGGCGTCGAAGACGCGTTGGGGGATGCGCGCCGCCAGCTCGGCCGCTGCCGCCCGGTCCTCCTCGGTGGTGGTCCAGCCGGTTTCCAGCCGTTCGTGGGTCAACATGCGAGCCTCCTTGTCGATACAATGCAAATCGTATCACGACGGGTTGACGAAAACTCTCAGAATCTGAGATTGTTTTGGCATCATGAAAGTTCTGACAGCTCTTCTGACTATCGCACTCGTCGGCGCGACGGCTGCCTGGGCCAAGACAGGAAGCTTCACGTACGACGACGGCTCGTCCTACGAGGGCGAGTTCGAGGACGGGAAGGTCCACGGCCAGGGCACCTACACCTGGAGTGACGGCACCATGTACTCAGGTGCATTCGAGTCCGGTCTGCCGCACGGCGAAGGCCGGCTGACGTGGCCTTCGGGCGCCATGTACGAGGGGCCGTTCCAGGCTGGCGAGATGGCCGGTACCGGCATGATGATGTGGCCGACCGGCGCGACGTATGAAGGCAACTTCACCGCCGGGCGCATCAACGGCTACGGCATGCTCACTTGGCCCGACGGCCTGACCTACAGCGGCATCTTCGTGACGGAGACCATCGAAGGGGCCGGCATGCTGATGTGGACCGACGGCACCAGCTACGAAGGCGACTTCGTGGGCGGGAGCATCGACGGCTCCGGCATGATGAAGTGGCCTAGCGGCGACATGTATGAGGGCGGCTTCATGGGTGGCGCGCCTAACGGCGAAGGCGTCTATGTCTGGGCGACCGGCTCCCGCTTCGAGGGCATGTACGAGAACGGTCTGGCCAAGGAAGGCACGTTCTACGTCACCGATAGTGACGGCAGGGAATTGGCACTTCATGGCGTCTCAGGATGCCGACGGGGCCTGGATGGTCGAGCATCCCGACGACCAGATGTAGCCAGCGCCGGTAGGTCCGAAACGAAAGAGATAGGACAGCCGAGCTGAGCGAATGGCGGGGACGGTGCCCTGGGAGGTCGACAAGACCGACCGGGCATCGTTACCCGTTTCCGTTAACCCGCACATCACCATTCGCGCACCCGCTGACGGAGTCGGGTGGGGGACATCGCACCCGTGCCTCAAAGGCAGGTGCGCGTTCGCGCGTTCCGCGGGACGTGAACGCGTCAGCCGCTCCGGTACTCCGCCAACACTCGATCCATCACCCAACCGGTGCGCGCGGCGCTCCTTCCCGTGCTCGGGCAACTCCCGAAGCCGCGGAGCTCATCCACGATCGACTGGATCAGCGGCTGCTGCACGTGCGCGGGATGGGCGATGTCGGTGCGCGTGGTGCCGTCGGCCGCCACGATCTCGAACGGGCCTTCGGCGAACGTGGCGTAGCGCAACACGCCGTCGCTGCCGGCGATCTCGACCCGGTCGATCTGCTCGCGAGCGGTGAAGGCGAAGCGGGCGGTGCCGATGACGCCGTCGCGGAAGCGCACTGCGAACGCCACGGCATCCTCCGCCCGGTAGGTGCCGAGCTGGTTCACCGCGAAGCCGCGCACTTCCTCGATCGGGCCCAGCAGGTGGTCCAGCAGGTCCAGCACGTGCGAGCCCATGTCCGCGAACAGCCCGCCGCCGGCGATCTCCGGCCGGTATCGCCACGGCAACGGGCCGGAGCCGAGCGAGGCATCCGGGGGACTCGCATATTGTGCCGTCACCGTCAGCGGGGTGCCGATGCTGCCGCTGAGCAGCGCGTCGCGCACCGCCACGAAGCGCGGCAGCGTCCGCCGGTAGTAGGCGACGAACAGCGGCAGGCCGGCCGCCTCGGCGGCGGCGTTCATCGACAGGCATTCGTCGTGGGAGCAGGCCATGGGCTTCTCCACGTACACCGGCTTGCCCGCCGCCAGCGCCTGCAGGGCGTAGTCGCGATGGGACGACGGCGGCGTGGCCACGTACACCGCGTCGACCTCGGCGTCGTCGATCAGCTCGGCTGCGTCGTCATACGCGCGCGGCACCCCGTGGCGGCGCGCGTAGTCGCGCGCTGCGTCGCCGTTGCGCCGCATCACCGCCACCAGCCGGGACCCGGTTGCCTTCTGGAAGCCCGGCCCGCTCTTGACCTCGGTGACGTCGCCGCAGCCGATGATCCCCCAGCGGATCGCGGCTGGCGGGCTCATGGCGCCCGCTCCGCCGGCGGCAGCAGCGCGCGCACCGCCGCCGTCTGGATCGTGCGCTCGGCGGATCGGCGCAGCGTGCCGGCTGCCGGGGTCCCTTCGCGTGCGTAGGCATCCGCCTGCAGCGCCATATCGATCTTGTCGAGATCCTTGACCAGCCGCCCTTCCGGGGTGCGGCGCTCGGCGTAGTCCAGCCACGCGGCCATGAGCGTTCCGTTGGGGTCGACGCCGGCCAGGATGCGTCGCGCGGCCTGCTCCTCCCGGCGGCGTTTCGTGTCGCCGGGAACGCCGTCGGCGGGCGTCAGATCGCCGGTGAGCGCCTCCGCTACGTCATGGATCACGGCAACGAGCACCGCCCGCGCCGGATCGGCGCCGACCGCCGACGCGGTGACCGCCGCCAGCGCCGCCACGCCGAATGAGTGCGCGGCGACCGACTCCGGATCCGGGACACCCCGCTGCACCCAGCCGGTGCGCGGCAAGCGCTTCAGGGCGGCGACGTGCGCGAAGAACGCCTCGAGCCGCTGCGCGTTCATCGGTTCGGTGGCGGGCACCCGGCGAGGGTATGCCGAGCGGGGGACTCTCGACTACCGTAGTCTCCGGCAGGTGATGGACGCCACGGATGGCTCGGTGCGGTTGGTCCTGCAGCGGGACGAGATCGAGCTTGCCGGCTACGACGAACGCGCGACGGTTGGCGATCTGATTGCCGCCCTGGAGCGGATGCGGCTCCGCCCCGGTCTGGCGACGGTGGGCTGCGCCGGCTGTGGGCTTTGTTGCCGCGACCGGGTGCCGGTGCTCGGCGCGGATCTGCCGCGGCTGGAACGGGCGCTGGGACTCCGCCGCCAGCAGCTTCTCCGCGACCACCTGGAGCTGCCGGAGCGCCCGGACCCGGATGACGCGCGCCGCCGGCATCGCCGACCTGCGGCGGCAGTTCCATGCCTCGGAGCCGGAGGCGACGCTGCTCTACGAATGGAACACCGGCGAGCCGATCGTCCCGCGGCAGGGCGGGGACGGCTTCTGCCACTGGCTGCGCGACCGGCGCTGCTCGGTCTACACCGGCCGGCCGCTGATCTGCTCCTTCTACCTGTGCAACTTCGGCGACCGGCTGTCGGCGCTGTTCGACGCGATCGTGCGGCAGGGCGTGTGGCACAGCTATGTCGCGGTGGGCTGGATCGATAGCGGCCTCGTCGCGCACAATCCGTTCGTATCGGTCAACGACCCGACACGGGCGTTGCTGGGGGGGCGTTCGACGTCGACGTCTCGCCACTCCTGGAGCGAATGGCCGATACGTGGTAGGCGTCTGGAAGCGCGAACGGACAAGGGTTGTTCCCACATGACATACGTTGCGACGCGTGCTTTGGCTCTGCTTCGAACTGGCGTTGCGGATTCAGACGCAGAGTTCCGAACCGGCCAGGAAGAGGCCATCCGGCACGTGGTGGAGGCGAACGGACGACTATTGGTGGTCCAGAAGACCGGGTGGGGCAAGAGCTTCGTCTATTTCATTGCGACGAAACTGTTGCGCGAGCAGGGCATGGGCCCCGCTTTGCTCGTCAGCCCATTGCTGGCGCTGATGAGAAACCAGATCGACGCGGCGCAACGGATGGGTGTCAGGGCCGAGACGATCAATTCGGACAACCAGCAAGGTTGGCGGGAGGTTGAGGCCTCAATGCGCCGTAACGAGGTGGACATACTACTCGTTTCCCCCGAACGGTTCGCCAACGAACGCTTCCGTGACGAGGTGTTGGCGGAAATCGCCGACCGGATCGCTCTGATCGTGATCGATGAAGCGCACTGCATCTCCGACTGGGGACATGACTTCCGTCCCCACTATCGGCTGATCGAGCGCATGCTTCATATATTACCCCCCAACCTCCGGTTGCTGGCGACCACGGCGACGGCGAACGATCGTGTGCTGCAGGACTTGGCGGAAATTCTCGGTCCGAACCTGGAGATCTCACGTGGCGACCTCAGCCGTTCGTCGCTCGCCTTGCAGACCATTCGTATGTCGAGTCAGGCCGAGCGGCTCGCTTGGTTGGCCGACCAGATTCCGAAGTTTCCAGGCAGCGGGATCGTGTACACTCTCACGGTTCGCGACGCTGAGCAGGTAGCCGGATGGCTCAAGACTCGCGGAATCGACGTGGAGGCCTACACCGGAAGGACGGGGGATGGGCGGGCGGAGCTGGAACAGGCGTTGCTCGACAACAAACTCAAGGCGCTGGTGGCGACGACGGCGCTGGGTATGGGGTTCGACAAGCCGGACCTCACCTTCGTCGTCCATTACCAGACGCCGGGTTCCGTGGTCGCCTACTATCAGCAGGTGGGGCGTGCCGGGCGGGCGCTGGATGCCGCCTACGGAGTGCTGCTTAGCGGTGCCGAGGAGATCGAGATTACCGATTACTTCATAGAGAGCGCCTTTCCAACACGTGATCAGGTCGCAGCGGTTCTCAGAGCGTTGGAGGCGGCACCCGAGGGTTTGTCGATTCGCGAGTTGGAATCGAAGGTTAATGTCAGCAACGGCCGGATACTGAAGACGATTCAGCTACTCTCGCTGGAATCGCCGGAGCACCGGTCGCAACGCTTGATGGTAAGTGGCAGCTCACGGCTGTGACCCTGAGCGATGGATTCTGGGAACGAGCTGATCGGCTCACGGAACTCAGGCGCAGGGAGCGGGAGCAGATGCAGGAGTACGTGCGGTTGTCTTCCGGCCACATGGGATTTCTGATCCGATCTTTGGACGGTGATCCCGGCGCCTTCGTGCGTCCCGATCTGCCCGACTTGCCCGCGTCGACAGATCCGTCACTGCATCCGTGACGCCGTCGCGTTCCTGCGTCGTGCGAGCCTACCTATCGAACCACGAAAGCAATGGCCTCCCGGCAAGTCGATCGCGCCTCATCATCGGGCGCAGCCGGGAAGGGCGCTGTGTTTCTGGGGCGACGCCGGATGGGGAAACGTGGTGCGGCTCGCCAAATATCGAGACGATCACTTCTCTGACGACCTCGTAGATGCGTGCTCAGCCCTGGTGAGTGAGTGGCGTCCCGGGGCCGCCTCCGATGTGGGTAACCTCCGTGCCCTCGCACCGGCGTCCCGAGTTGGTCCCAGCATTCGCTCGACGCCTTGCGGCGGCGCTGCGCCTACCCTATAGGGAAACACTTGCGAGGAAAGAGACGCGCCCAGAACAGAAGATTATGGAGAACAGCGACAAGCAGGCAAAAAATGTTATCGGTTCGCTGGCGGTCAACCAGGACGAGATCCTCCCGGGAGCGGTGCTTCTCGTGGATGACATGGTGGACTCGCGCTGGACTTTCACCGTCGCGAGCTGGGAGCTTCGCCGTCACGGCAGCGGGGAGGTATGGCCACTCGCGCTAGCCGATGCGGGAGGTACGCAATGAACACGGCTCTATCAGCGAATACCAAAGCGATCCTGCTGCTGGCGTCTCCCTTGATGGCTGGCAACAGCAGGAGACAGGTGCGGTCGCTCGTTGCCGGAGAGTACCGTTCGCTGGCTCGGTTCTTGCATACCTGTCAGGCCGAGCCGGCCGACCTCATGGGTCCGAGAGCTGAAGAGCTCATCGATCGTTACGACGGACCCGTCGACAAGACGCGACTGAGAGCATTGCTAGACAGGGGATTCCTGCTGAGTCATGCCGTCGAACGCTGGCAGGCGCGGGCGATCTGGGTGATGAGCCGAGCCGATGATGGCTACCGCGGGTGCTTCGGGAGCGGCTGAAGAACGACGCTCCGGTCTTACTCTTTGGCTGTGGCTTACAGGGATTATGCGCACGCAGGGGCTGGCGATCGTCGGGTCTCGCGACGTACCTGAACCTTGATTGAGTACACGCGCGAAGTCGCGTCCCAGGTAGCGCAGGCGGGGCTGACCGTGATTTCCGGCGCTGCAAAGGGCGTGGACAGAACCGCGATGAACGCAGCTTTGGAAACCGGCGGCCAAGTCGTGGGCGTGCTGGCAGGGGACCTTGAGCGCACGGTCATGAATCGGGAGTATCGCGACTTGCTGGTTGCGGAGCGGCTCGTTCTGCTCTCGCCGTACGAACCGAGCTCAGGCTTCAACGTCGGGCATGCGATGCAACGAAACAAGGTAATCTACGGGTTGGCTGACGCGGGCTTGGTGGTAAACGCCGTCGTGAACCGGGGAGGCACCTGGGCCGGAGCTGTCGAGCAGTTGCGGAAGTACGCGGTACCCGTTTTCGTGCGTTCGACGGGCGATCCGTCCGAGGGTCTTGAGGCACTGAAGGTGCGCGGCGCCAGGCCATGGCCAAATCCGAACAGTGCGAGTGGAATCAAGGAGGTTCTGCGCCTGGACTCGGCTCAGGACTTTCGGACCATGACGGGCGTGTTGGTCCGTACTCAGGAACATCACGAAGTGGCAAGTCCGGATTGTTCCATGGACACGGGACTGCCGACGAACGACGTATCCCCTGACCGTGTGAACGCCACCACGAACTACGCTGAGGAGTTATATCGAATGGTGCGGTCTTGGGCGCCACGCATCTGTGCCCAACCCAAGAAGCCTCGGAGGTCGCAGGAGAGTTGGGAGTCAGCCAGCCTACAGCGAATGCATGGATACAGCGACTCGTCGAAGAGGGAGCACCATAGAGAAGCGCGCCAGGCCCGTCGTTACGTTGCACCGCAGCAAGAGCTGTTTGAGCATGTTCCGACTCAACAAGGGTAGGCAGCATGGTTGTACGTTGCCTATCTGCTCGTGTCGTCGTCCTATGCCGTACGTCTTGAAGGAACGACGGCGGCTGCATCCTGCCGGACTATGAGTAGCTCGGGATCGGTGATCAGAGCCTCGGATCCCACCACGACCTGGGCCGGCGTCGGCCCGGTGCTGCGCGTGTTCCGCATGGCGCTGGCCTATCCGGTGCGGTTGACCATCGCCGTGGTCGCCACGGTCGCCGCGGCCGTGTTCCAACTGCTGCTGCCGCAGTACGTCGGTGACGTGGTGGACACGGTGAACGTGATCCTTTCGAGCGCTACCGACCCGGGCGCCGCCAGGCGGCAACTGCTGCAGCTCGCCGGGCTGATCCTCATCGCCAGCGTGATGCGCGGGCTGATGATGATGGTGCACACCCAACAGGCGGAGATCGTCGGTCAGAGCGTCGGCTACCGGCTGCGAATGGACTACTACGACAAGGTGCAGCGGCTCAGCTACGGGTTTCACGATCGCGTGCACACCGGCGAGCTGATCACCCGCGGCATGCTCGACGTCGAGGCGGTGGCCAACTCCTTCAACCGAGGGATGATCAAGGCGATCTGGCTGCTGGTGCTGATCGGCTGGGGCACCTGGCTGCTGGCGAGCACCGACGCGGTGCTCACGCTGGCGGCGCTGAGCTTCGCGCCGGTGGTCGCGTGGCGCGCCACCGTGGCGCGCATGCGGCTGCGCGTGGCGTGGCTGCGGCTGCAGCAGTGCCTGGCGCGGCTGACCAACGTGATGGAGGAGAACCTGAGCGGCATCCGCGTCGTGCGTGCGTTCGCCGCTCGCGAGCATGAGATGGCCAAGTTCGACACCGTCTCCGAGCAGGCCAAACGCTACACCGACCGCACGATCAACATCCGCGTACGCGACGTGAGCCTGATGACCCTGGTTACTTTTTCTTAACTCCTTATACTTACTTCATTTCAACTTCGCCATCCGCCCCCACACCCCTCCACCTTACCTTTCTCCCACCCCGCACCCTTTAAAACCCCCTCTCCAACGCTTTTTATAACTTTTTGTCTAAGCTTGCTGTGTCCCATTATCTTTCGCTCACCCATCCACTTCCTATAAAAAACACCTTCGTTCCGCCATACTGCACATCACACTAAGCGTTCCAATACTCACCGATCACCATAACCCATTTTCCCAATAACCCGCACCACTGTCACTCCTCTCTCTTCTGATCTCCCCATCACCTTACCCTACTTTTCTTCCCATATTCCAATAACATCCACTATTGTCCCTCCACGGCATTCCCTCGTCCCTCTTTCCCTTTCTTTCCACGCCACACTTCTCCTTACTGCCTACACGGCGCGATGCGCGTGATGCTATGAGGACGGCGGCAAACCGCGTGCTGGCCGGGCACATCACCGTCGGCGACGTCACCGAGTTCCTGGTCTTCATGCTGATCCTGCAGATGCCCATCCGGCAGCTCGGCATGGTGGTGAGCGCGTTGTCGCGAGCCTCCACGTCGGGCGGGCGGCTGTTCGAGATCCTGGATCTGGAGCCGGACATCAGGGACCAACCGGGCGCCCGGGAGCTGGAGATACGCGAAGGGGTGCTGCGCTTCGAGTCGGTGGGCTTCTCCTACGGCGGCGACCGCGACAGGGTGCTCGATGACATCAGCTTCGAGGTAGGGCCGGGCCGCACGCTCGGCATCGTCGGGCCGCCGGGGTCCGGAAAGTCGACCATCGCGCTGCTGGCCGCCCGCTATTACGACGTCGGCGCCGGCCGCATTACCATCGACGATCAGGATGTCCGCTCGGTGACCCTGCAGTCGCTGCGCTCCGCGGTGGGGGTGATCCAGCAGGACAACTTCCTGTTCACCGCCAGCGTGGAGAGCAACGTGGCGTATGCCGACCCCTGGGCGCAGCGCGAGCAGATCACCCACGCCAGCTCGTCGGCGCAGCTCCACGACTGGGTGCTGGGCCTGCCCGAGGAGTATCGGACGCTGGTCGGCGAGCGCGGCGTGTCGCTGTCCGGCGGCCAGCGCCAGCGGCTGTCGATCGCCCGCAGCATCATGGTGAGGCCGGCGGTGATCGCCTTCGACGACTCCACGGCGGCCATCGACGCCGCGACCGAGCAGCGCATCCGCGCGGCCCTGCGCAAGCTCACCGAACGCACCGCCACCATCATCGTCTCCCACCGGCTGAGCTCTCTGATGCACGCCGACGAGATTCTGTTCCTGGACGCCGGCTCCATCGTGGAGCGCGGCACCCACGCCGAGCTGATGAAACTGGGAGGCGCTATCGCGCGCTGTACCAGCTTCAGGCAAACCCGTCCGAGTCGATGGATCGGATCGCCGACAGCATCGTCGGCGGCGCGGCACGCGCGGCGGAGGTGGCGCGTGGCCGCTAAACGTCTCCGGACCCAGGCACAGGCTGAGAAACGGCCTCACCTGGCGTCAGTCGGGGCGCAGTCCAACCGCGAGGAGGTGATGTTCGGCGCGACCTTCGACGGCAGGATCGTGCGCCGGTTCCTGGCGTTCGTGGTGCCCTACCGGCGGCGGCTGCTGTTCGGGCTGGCGGCGGTGCTGGTGTTCACCGCCACGCAGCTCGCGATCCCGCTGATCGTGAGCAACACGTTCGACCACGTGGCGGGGGCGGGCGACTCGGCCCTGACGCTGCTGCGGGCCGCCGTCGCGGTCTTCGTGGGCATCATCCTCGTGAACTTCGTCGCCAACGTGCTGCAGGAAGGCGTGGTGGCGCGCGCCGGCGCGCGCGTGCTGTTCGATCTGCGCCGGGCCATGTACCGCCACCTGCAGCGGGTGTCGCTGTCCTTCATGGACCGCACCGAGACCGGCCGGCTGATGTCGCGCCTGCAGGGCGACGTGTACGCGCTGCAGGAGTTCCTTGAATCTTCCGTGTTCGCGGTGGGGGACATGCTGCTGCTGATCGGCATCATGACGGTGCTGGTGGCCATGGACTGGATGCTCGGACTGATGGCCCTGGCCGTGGTGCCGACGCTGATCATCGTCCGCATGGTGTGGCTCCCGCACGCCCGGCGCACCTTCCTGCGGGCGCGGGAGGCCTCGTCCATCGCCAACGGCGCCATGGCCGAGGCGATCAACGGCGTGCGCACGGTGCAGGAGGCCGGCCGCGAGCTGGTCAACCTGGAGCTGTACCAACGACAAGGCGCACGACAACCTGGTCGCGCAGTCGCGCGCGGTGATGATCGCGCAGGTGATCATCCCCATCGTCGACGAACCCTCACCGGCGATCGCCACCGGGATCGTGGTGTTCGTGGGCGGGTCGATGGTGCTCGACCGGAGCCTCGACCTGGGCGTGCTGATCGCCTTCCTGATCTACATCCAGCGCTTCTTCCAGCCGATCCGCTCGGTGACGATGCAGCTCAGCATCATGCAGCGGGCCATGGCGGCCGGCAGCGCATCTTCGAGGTGATGGACGTGCCGATCGGACATCGAGGATCGGCCGGGAGCGATCGAGCTCGACGACTGCGACGGCTCGGTCGAGTTCCGCGGCGTCACCTTCGGCTATTTGCCGGATCAGCCGGTGCTACAGGACATCAGCTTCACGGCCCGTCCCGGAGAGACGGTGGCGCTGGTCGGGCCGACCGGTCCGGCAAGACCAGCATCACGGCGCTGGCGCACCGTTTCTACGACGTGTGGGACGGGCAGGTACGGGTGGGGGGCCACGACGTGCGTGACGTGTCCCAGGATTCGCTCGGCCGCCACATCGGCATGGTACTGCAGGAGCCGTTCCTGTTCTCGGGCACGATCGAGGAGAACATCCGCTACCACAAGCCGCACGTGACGCCCGAACAGGTCGAGGAGGCGGCCCGCACGGTGGGCGCGCACGGGTTCATCATGCGCCTGCCGGACGGCTATCAGACCGAGATCGAGCAGCGCGGCGGCAACCTGTCGCTCGGCCAGCGGCAGCTCATCAGCTTCGCGCGCGCCGTGGTGGCCGACACGCCGGTGCTGGTGCTGGACGAGGCGACCGCCAACATCGACAGCTACACGGAGATGCTGATCCAGAAGGCGCTCGCGAAGCTGCTGGAGAGCCGCACCGGGCTGGTGATCGCGCACCGCCTGGCGACCATTCGCGGCGCCGATCGCATCCTGGTCCTGCAGGAGGGCAGGATCGTGGAGCGCGGCACCCATGCCGAGCTGATGGCTCTGAATGGCTTGTACGCGCGGCTGTACTCGATGAACTACTCGTCGTTCGACGACATACCGGACGAGCTCATCGACCTGGCAGGAGATAAAGGGAAAAAGAAGGGAGCAGACGACGGAAGATCGGAGACATGTAACTATCGGAGCCTAGATGAGGAGAGCCGCGCCGGACACGATTGCGAACGATGGACAAAACAGGAACAGGCCCGGAGAGAGAGGCGAGCCACGGCCTCTGGCGGTATGCGAGTAGACCGCAGGACGACGGAGACGAGAGAAAGATGCTCCGGAAAAAGGGTACAGCGACAAGATACGCCGAGACGGTCCGCTGCCGCGCATGCGGGAGCCGAAGCGGGCGTCTTGAGGCCGCTTCAACAGGCTGACCGGCCACCACACGGATACCGGGGGAAGCAAACCGGAGTGGGGGCCCTCCTCGAATCATGGAGGATGCGGGAAACACCTGACTTTCGTAGGGCCCGTGCCGTTAGAGACAGTCCTCGAACGAGGCGACACGCGAGAGGACAAGCAACACATACATTTAGCCCCCGCGAACGACGCGCCGGCGGCGGCCGCGGCGTCGAGGATCGCCGGGATCTCGTGATCGGTGAGGCCGGGATCACGGGCGCCGTCAGGACCCCTACCGGCACGCCGGCCGCGGCAAGGGTCTCCATCGCTGCAGCCGCCGGGCGGGGGTGCTGGTGCGCGGTTCCATGGCGTGCCTCAAGGATGAGTAGAAATGGTCGGGATAGACAGAACACAAGCGGCGGCAGGAGACC